ATGTGACTTTATGTTGACATAAAGACTTCCCAAAGAACAGTCTTTAAGCCCGAAAAATAAGAACAGGCCTATGTTTAAAACATACTGTGCACTGTGGCCGTTGAGAATTCAAATACGCAGGTCCATTTCACGAAGTACAGACGAGACGGCATCTTCAATCGAATGACGGCGACTTCCGTCCACATTCTTTCTAATTCACCGTCCGGTAATGATCCTAGCAGTTAAGAAATCAGGAATGAACGAAAAACAGCTAAAGAATAATTACGTAGTACGGAATCGGGTAATTTGCATTTTTCAATGGATGTTATTAAAGTGACAAGATCCAGATAAATGAGATGAGCTATATAAGAAATGCATACAAAATTTTGTGGTAAACCTAAAGGGAAGAGTCCTGTTATTAGATCAAGGCGTTGATGATATAATAAAGGAACAGGGTGGGCTAACATGGAGTTATTAATACTTCGTACAAGTTTCGTGCAGTTTCGGTTGGCCACATCTGTACAACATGCCGATCGCAGCGCCTCCAGTGGTTTTGTGCTGAACTTGTAAACTACACAAAACGATGATGATTTTCTCGAAATTGAATTAGGTAAAGGTTAACAAGATTTACTCAGAGTTCCCCCCTGCTAGACGAGCAGAACCCAGTTCAAGGCTTCTCTTTGATGTCCCCCTGCTCACCCTCAAATTTGTAACCCCCCCTCCCCAGCCCTTCACGGATTAACAGGAAAGGGGGGGGGAGGCTGCAGCGTTAGAATGGAGGTCACCCGGAAAGTCAATCTTGTGGTGGTTTTTAACTATTTAATTAAGCCTTGTTAAACCCCCCCTTTTTATTTCCCTTTACAGGGGGGAGTCGCAGTAGCGTATGGAGAGTGGAGCTATTTTGTGCTTTCCAGTGTATTCTGTATACGTGACACGTGAGTGGAATACAATTACACTAATTGCCGCAAAAATTATGAATCAAATTGGATTATGAAACAGTTTCCCGACAACGTTCAACAAATGTAGTAATTTTTACTCTTTTAGTTCAAAGTCACTTAACATTTGGCACTAACCATACAGAGATTCATACGAATATTTAGTGCCAACAAAATCAATATGTCATTAAAATAATAATACCATTCCTGTAAGACCTACGCTCGTAATATTTATATTTTCGTTTAAAATTACCGTCGAACGATGTTCAAAATAATTACAAATCCTTGTCAACAAAACATTAATGATAACTTTCATTGTGGCACCCTGTTCTCTTATGGCGTAATTATGATTTCACTGAAGTCACTCACACGGAATACACCTGATAATGTCAACGTTAATCTTCTGGATTGTGTTCGTGAACTCATTTCGGAGAAACATACTGTCTCCATCTTCAGGACTAAACTGCCTTGAAGATGGACACTGTATAATTCTCCGAAACAAGCCTACAGAGCGTCAAGACTCTGCAGACCAATATCGACAACTTCGTCGCCAAACTTGATTCTGTCTGTGTGACAGTCGAAACACTTTCTTCATAGATCCCAGTATTCGAGTGAGCAAAACCCATGGTTCACACCACGCGGTCACTGTCAGTACCGTCACTTTTAGTACAGCGCATTTAATAAGAACCCGAGCTAAGAACGGAATAATTCTACACCATTAAAAGAAGTTGAGTTTAAGTGGAAGTTTGATATTCATGGTACCTCTCCTGTAAACTACACATACAATAGTTAGAACAGTACCTACGAGGGACTGGCGTTGTTCCTATAGGTTAATACCGCCCCGTAGCAGATAACGGACTGTATACCTGTCAGTCAGCTGTAGCTAAATCACCACTGTACATACACGCTATTGCCTCTGTCCACTGGAAGCTCAGTGATTGGTTCGCTTGGGGAAACAACCGACCATGATCAGATTTCCACCTCGCAAACCTCAGAAAAACTTTGCGATGGACATTAAGTTAAGTGAACTGATAAATTTCATACAAAAATGGAGTAGTGTAACGTATTCGAGACGCAGCTGTGTCAGGTCCGAGTAGGGCACCAGGTAATATAAATGAACGTTTTCGCATTTTGCCTCAGACAATCCAGACGAATACTAGATGGCGCCTTGCGATAGGAGGCCAGTGAATGATTTAAATACGCAAATTAACGCACTTTTGTAAACATATTCAATTTGGAGAATATTCTTCCAAGTATAATTTAAGGTTCTCACGGCTGTGAGTACTTAGATGACTATCTTCTGGGTTGTAGTGCCGTGTAGTCTGGTAGACTCATCGCCGTGATGATGGAGGCAGCAAGAACCTTTGAAACGTTGGTAAATTTCTATCAAAGCACACGGCACTACAACATACGACAGCCACGAAAGACCCTTCCAATTTTCATGAAAGCTCCAAGACATTGTGTGATGATGCATTATCGTCTTTACATTATACAACTGGAATTGAATTTTTTTTTCCCTTCTATCGTCGTCAAAAATAAAAGCTACTAAACAGTATGAACATCCTATATATCACTTCTGCTCTGCCAGTGACAAAACGTGTGTAATCTCGACAGCAGAGCTTCAGGACTTGTTTCAGCTTATCACGAGTTCGACACTCCCCACAATATGACGCACTGATCCTAGCAACGTCACTGTTGATGCCCTCATGATGTCGGAATAGAATATCAAAAGTGATACGAACAGGAGGATGTAGAAAAACCACTTGTATCTATGGCAACAGATTTATCTCTTCAGGCATTACGTATTCTGAAATGGAATACTTCTTAATCGTAAATATGGTATATGAACCTGTCGATCTGGAGTTGTTCCGGTGTACAAAGAACCATTTATATAGTCTACTTAACGAAGCTGTCAGTACCTCAGACAACGTATAATAGCGCCGAATGATAGTATGATAAGAGAATAGAGGATTGAAAATACATAAGGAAATTCTTCCTGCCTTTTTCTGGAAGGACTGAGAAACACCACGAGACTTGGTCAGGACAGTCTGTATCCGAGTC